TTTTTAAAAAACAACACACAATTTTTCCCCCCCCCCCCCCCCCCAATTTATTGATTGACAGCTCTCCTGTCCCCATGTTGAGAGAAATCAGATGATGTTACGGTGGTTCTAAAATAAATATATGCATTAATTCATCTCACCCAAAAAAAAAACGATTCAGTATTCCTCAAAATGAATAAAAATGCAACTCAGAATAAGACGCAAACCTGCAATAAGTAAATGTTACACAAATATCCTTTATGTATTTAATCCCATTCTATTAACCAATGTCTTTGCGTCTGACCTTCGATGATCCAGTTCAACCATACTAAGCAAAAATTACTCTAGACAAACATTTGTGCTTCTTTTTATTGCTGAAGTGTGTTGAAATGTCTTCTTCTGCATTCTACTGTACGGACGTAAATGTACTTTCCCTTCAGCCTGAGGCTTATTCATTTCACTTTTGGTGTGAAAAGGCTATTAGATGTGCCAAAAATAGAACTTTTTATTTATAATAAATAAAATAAATAGAAGCCCTGTCCAGATTTAAAAAGTAACTTAAACGTAATGTAACGCATTACTTTCCATAAAAGGTAACTAACGTAATTAGTTACTTTATGGAGTAACGCAATATTGTAATGCATTACTTTGAAAAGTAACTTTCCCCAACACTGGTATACACAATAATGGGCCTGGAAATTTCCGATCTCTCTAACATGGTGAAAAAGGGATATATATATTGTGCCATACTCACAAAACCCACATTTGTCAAGCAAAAGAGCCTCAGACTAGAATTTATAATCAGCTGCTGTAATACAGCGTTCATACGAGGTGTCAGAAAAGTATTAGAAGTCATCAGCGGCTCCAACTCACATTTATTCAAGACCAAGTGTGTGGATCAAGCTTAATTCACTTACCACCAACTTAACCCTCCGTTGCGTTCATTAAAATTTATAATCGATGCATCAAATAGATATTCAACAGCCTAAACCGCCAATGGCGCGAATCATCCGAGGCCACGTGCTTCATCAGGCCCTTCACGAGGCAGACTGGAAACTCTGCAACCAGAATATAAAGAGAAGTTTAACATGCAGCTCACGCGTAAACCCAACTCAAGCATCTCAAACGAAAACCTAGAGTTTAACGAAATCACACGCGACGAAGACCTTACATTTAGACAGCATTACTCAATCTTTAGTGATGGTCTTAAATCATTATCATCGCCTTCTTAAGCGAGCGCTGAGGTACTAAACTAAACTGACAGCAAAAGAAGAGTACTTACACGACTGCAATCACAAAGCAACTTTCTGAAGAGGACATGTTGCACTGCGACATCCTCACCACACAAAAGTTCGCAGAACAAAGAGAGAGGATTAGCTTTATGCCACGGTTTTTATTAGAAGTCTTCTTTGTGACCTCCACCTGCGTATCAGATGCGTTCAAGGCTCTTGTGTGCCCTCTGCTGGTTGGCTTGAGTCTTTGCATAAAATACAGACATGGACCCTACAAATAACAAGTATCCAATAACAAGTTATTTTTATTAAAGTTTGTCTCAGTCGCTTTGGTGCATTTCTCAAATCAGAAATGAAATTCTCAAAACTACTTGTACAACCTCCACATCATCTAGTCATTTGTACACATCATAAAAGCAGTTTCTCATTCTTTTGAACAAGTTGCGATAGCTTTGGTACATTCATGCAACTGATTATGTACATTTATCTGCGGTTTCCTGCATTATCAGTTGCTAATGTCATGTTGCTCCAAATGTATTATAAACTATAGTTTTCTGTGCAATAGTCTTACCCCTCAAAACATCTAGTCTTTAGTTCATCGTATAAGTCATTAAATGCAAAATGGTTCATCTAAGTGTCATAAAGTGTCAAGCACATTTTTTACATATTATTATTAGACTTTTTGTAAATTTGCCATGAATTGTGCAAGTGAATCTTGACTTTCACTAATGAAGAGAATGTAGATCAACCAATGGTAAACCATTTCTCTGAAATAGCTCAAAGGCTCATCTCATGAATCGTCAGTTGGAAAGCATATACTGTATAGACAGAGGACAACACAATTTTCATCTTTGTGCCCATATTTCTTTTTCCTTTTCTATATCACAATGACATTGTAATGTGTGTGTGTGTGTGTGTACCTGGTATTTATCACGTTATGGGGACCAAATGTCCCCACAAGGATAGTAATACTAGTAAATTTTGACCTTGTGGGGTCATTTTGGAGGTCCCCATGAGGAAACAAGCTTATAAATCATACAGAATGAGTTTTTTTGAGAAAGTAAAAATGCACAAAGTTTCCTGTAAGGGGTAGGTTTAGAGGTAGGGTTGGTGTAGGGCAATAACACATACAGTTTGTACAGTATAAAAACCATTATGCCTATGGAATGTCCCCATAAAACATGGAAACACAACATGTGTGTGTGTGTTTCAGTCTAACATAAAACCAGAATAATGAATCTGTGACGAAGAAGAAGAAGGAAGTGAAAGTCAAGAATTTGAAATTGCTGTAGTTGTGCCACTGCCAATACGGTAGTGACACCTTCAACATTGAATGTCACATTTGATTCAGCACATTATGTAAGTTATTCTTAAAGACATTTATGCACTTAAATGAGTGCTCCACCTGAATGGAAGTGTTTCAAGATGATAAAAAGACAAATAAAATACAACAACAATGGAGAGTTGTTGTTCTAATATTTCATGGCTGTTTGACATATTCTTGCCTGGTCAAACTTATCCAATGTTGTTTCTTTTGATTGTGATCCTCCCCATTGTTTATCTTCCTTTTTTATCTGTATGATAAAGCACCAATGTTATCTAAATTCAACAGAGAGGCAATAAATATAAGGACAATTGCTATGTGTTCTTCTTATGTTCTTCCGTGTCTTAGTGTACCAATACTAATACAGTAATTAGTGTACCAATACTTAGTGTACAGTAATAATCAGATGTGTTTAGCTTCGGGCATGCAAACTTTCATTTTCACTTTTAAACATGTTATCAGATAATGTCCTATTTACAAGGCACCAAAGGAGGTAACTGAGATGTGTTTTTTTTTTTTAGAAATATAAAATAACCTGGAATAAATACATAATTGCATAAACATTAAAATGTTAAATTCTCTGAATTGGTACATTGTGAAATGGCTAGAGAAACAAATGTCTTGATTCTCCCCTCGAGACTCTAAATCCCTTAAGATCACTTAGGAATATTAAAAAAGGTTGTACAAGCGATCTGTATTGTGGCATGACTTGGCTGGAGTGCTGAATTACAGAATGTGCAAACCAGTCCATATGAGCTCTTTTAAATGCTTGAGGCACCTCTACTGTAGGTGTGTAGGTGATTCAAAAGATGGTATCATTGGCTGCTTCACAAGTCATGCTTTTTGGGTCATTCAACAGCCAGGAGAATGGGACTGAGTAGTACAGGTGGCCCATAGATTTTGGGGGGCCTACTATATTACTCCATAAGAGTCACTGCCATTTTAACCGAATACATGATAAAACATCTAGTTTATTAAAGAAATGTTAGCACTATTTTGTGTGGGGGAAAAAATCCTGACCAGTCATATAGCACCATTAGCTCAAACAATGGCCTTCTGTTCGTCCAGCTAAGATGAGGGAGTGTTTGGAAAACTGGAAACTAGAAAAATTGTTATTTTAGCAATTCGATTTTCTAAACAGTTGTGCAGAAATGGCACACTGCGACCACTTTTTGTGGTATATGGAGCTGCAATGTTTAAGGAGAATAAAACAACATGGTTAACTTAATTTGATTTTTGTTAGATAAATTTGGATATTATTTGTGGAAGAAAACTGTAAATATTCTATAACTAATTATTAATTATTTGCTTATGCATATTCCAAACTACCTCAAACAAAAGTTTAATAACATTCTTTAATATGATTCAAACCAAAATATAAATGGCCGTTTAAAAAAAAATTATAATAAAACATGCATGACCAAACTGTCGGATGCCACTGTGGTTATATTCATAACAATTTATTTATATTAATTCCACATATTCGCAATGCTTTTTACATGGAAGAGGTCTTTGATGATATTTTTTTCACCAGGGTCAAACAAACACATTTGCCATCTGAAGGTTTACACAAAATTACAACTGATTATTACACAGTTTTACACTGTAAACGATTTCATACTCCAACATCTATTCCATTGACTTTGCAGTGTCATAATCAAGGACAACATTGTCATGATTGTCGGAAAATGTTCAGTTCTGTTGTATCCCAGATGGCTGGTTTTAAAGTATCACTTATAAAGCTAAAATTAATAACATGGTGCATGGATAAAAAATATTGCTCTGTAGTCTTATATATCTTGTGATGACATAGTCTTATATTATCTAATTTTAGCCACTTGTATAGAATATGCAACTTCTCCTGCCAGCAAGCCTTTTTTTGTTTGCATGACAAAACAGGAATAATTGCATTGTCCAAGAGATTAACACACACTCAGCCCTTACAAAAAAAGTACTGTAGTGGTACTATGGTTTCAGATGGTAATACAACAGTACTGTATGATTACCATATACATGTACTGTAGAATTAACATGATCATCCAAGCTACTTCAAAAATACCATGGTACCCTGTCCAAAAACATGGCACATTTTTTGTAAGAGAAAAAAAACATATAGTCTCTTTCCCAAAACTATAAACATACACTTCCTAATTCTCTCACTCTCAAATTGACCTCCCCTCCAAACACACAAACAAACACACATAAACACTTATTAGAGCACATTAGGAATGAGCAGGTGTCTGTAGCATTCCATATTGATGCATTCCATACTCTAGACTATCAATGATAACTATAACCTATATGTCATATATACACTACTCTTTCCAGCATCTTATTCTGAATTCTGTCTATATCTATGTATTATACCATGGGCAGGGTGGGATTTGTCAATGCAAGAACTACACTACACAGTCAAACATTCACACACACTGACAACAACAACAACAGCAATAACAATAATAACATACATAAAGATTACAATATACCTTTTCAAGTCCAAAGCTTTTCTTCATTATACTTCAAGGGAACAAAGAAATCTTGCACAAAATGTCCAAAAAAGTCTGAATATCTTCAGGGTCATAAATAGGGTTGTGCTCTTCATATATTTAGTCCAAACCAAGTGTTTAGTACATTTTCCAGCTGAAGACCACAAGGTGAAATTCAAAGTTCCCCTTTACAATGTGGACAAGCTCTCAGCAGAGATGTGGAAAAGAACAACACAGCTTCCTAACATCATATAAGAGAAAACGACTTACCTTTACTGCTCTTACCACTGCCATCAAGAGAAATATTCATCGATATTCAACTCTCACCCAACATGTAGTACACACATATACACACACTCATACATACTAGCATTTCTCTGCTTAAATAATATCTAGAAAGCTTGTCACATAGTCTCTCTTAATTTTGTGCTTATCTCTGGAAGCAGCATGACAGCAGGTCAGGATACATACTTGCAGTACCTACTCTGGCCACTAGAGGAAAGGCTGGTGGAGAATGAAAGGGTTTGAGAAAAACATTAATCAACAATTAGGCTTTTTCTTAGAGATGCTCAGTTGTAGTTTGACTTTTAAACATGTCGGAATGGAAGAGATTAATTTGCCCTATTGAGTTTCCAATCCTGCTGAGATGGCATCCTGGTGGTCCTCACTGAGAAACTTCAAGAAGCTTAAGTGTGTCACACTCCCTATGGAATCTGGTTTACCTTTGGTCTTTTAATCTAACATGGCCTCCAACTGATCCGCAAGATCATCAAACATGCTGCCAATGTCATCGAGAATGTTGACTGTGCTCTTGTTGTCCACAATGGAGCTGAAGAGGAAAAGAAAGAGAAACTAGAGTAGACAGAATGGAAGAGATTTCAACAAGTAACATCATCAGAAGAAAGATGATTTGAAGAAAATTATTTGTTTAGTGTTTGTACCTGTCATCCTTCTTAATCTTCTCCTCCACTACTTCCAGAGCAGCAGCCAGGGATGCACTGGTCTCCTCCAGTCTGAGTTGTACCATGTCCCCCAAAGCAGAGCCCCCTGTTTCAGCAACCTTCAGTAACCCTTGGCTTTCCACCTCTGTCTTTTCTTCTCCATCTTGTGGTTCACCCTCTACTTGTGTCTGTCTGGCTACACCTACCTTCCTCCTTCTCATTACCACCGGTCCTGCTCCCTCCCCTGTATCTGAAATCAGGCCTTGTTCACCTTGAAACATTTGATCCACCTGGATCAGACCTGTCCTTTCCATTCTAGCAATTCCAACTTCCTCTACTCTTTCTTGCCTCCTACCGTCATCTTCCTCTCTTTGTTTCTCTACTTCTCTTAGCTTCTTTTGCACATCCATTCCAGGCAGTTCTACTTCCAGAGGGCTTGGGATGTCCACTGAGAGACCAGCCATGGAAGACCTCGGGGGCTTCACTGGAGCTGATCCTGAACCTGGTGTAGAAGGTGTTTGTGGGGTTTGGGGTGTCTGGGGAGTCTGTGGGCTCTGAGCTGGAGACGTTGCTGCACGTGGGGAAAGCATGCTCACATCCATTGGTTTTGGGGTGACTGGGCTCAAAGTCTGTGGTGGATGCTCCAGTTGCTCAGATGGAGCTTGGCTGAAGGAGGCACTGGATGGGCTGAGAACATCTGCCTGAGGAGAGCCAAGAGTTCCGATTGTATGGATTGGTTTGATTTTTACCGGTTTGGGCAGTGTAGGAGGCAGACTTGGCTTGGGAGATACTGGAGGTGGGACTTTCTTAACCTCCACTATATAGAAACAAACAAAAAAAAAATATATATATAAAACTTGTCCAAATCATTTCATAAAAGTATTTTTACTACATTAACCATAAATCAGGAAGGCGTCTATTGCTATCTGGCTATTTTAATGCGAGATACAAGCTAAGCAGAGATCTGGTTTCCTTGAGCAACTGTAAAGAAATACCCAGGAACTTCATGCATGGATGAATTTCTATTTTTGCTTGTTAGACTGGTTTATACTTACTTGCTAGTTTGCTACAGACGGACCAGTCTGCAGGACAAAGAGTGAGGAAAAAATTTGAAATTTAATGATCTATTAGATTGCATTGTTACCTGGGCTATGTTGACCTTCTGGTCCAGGTAAGGGAACCCTCCTTGTAGGAGTTGGGGGATCTGGTTTTCGAAGGGCCATTCCTGGTTTAGGTGAAACTAGGGGTTTTAGTATTTGTCTGGGAAGAGAGCCAAAGCCATCATGATGCAGTTCTTCCTCCCTACCACCATCTCCAACACAAGCTTCTGATACAGGCCTTCTCCGAAAGTTCTCTGGCCCATTTCCATCAGTGCCATTACTCTGTGGTGGAGCCAATGCTTTGGGCCTTCGCTTTATAGTACTTGTTTCTGTCAGGTTAAAATGTTCACTATCTGAGTGATGTGGGGGTCGTGGTCTTCTCAAAGTTGCTGTGGCATCCATTCGTGACCACTCCTCTTGTGGCAGAGAGGAAACTCCCGCTTCCAGATGAGTGATCATGGAACGTGGACGTGGTTCAGGGGCCTGTTTAACTGGTTGGGTTTCACAAGGTGCTGGTCTATGATGTGTGGAGTCCTGCATGACTCGGTTCATCTCTTCCTCTCGTACATCATCATCAGGCTGCTTATGAGAGTCATAAAATTCGCTGATTGTGCGGCGGCGACTATCTGCGTCAGAATTCAGAACTTCACGGTTCTGCCGCAGGAGGTTATGGCTTGCCTGGGGAACAGGTAAAACATCAGAACCGTGCTGGGCATCAGTACTCACTCACTATTCAAAATGTAAATGCATTGCATAGTTCCTAGTTACTTTGTCTATCCAGTTACATGGTGTACTGTATGCATCAGAAAAAATATGAAAGCTCATGTATTTCTATACAGAACATTTTAATTTGTGAATTGATTTTAACGGCATTGTAAGATAAATTTAATTAAAACAAGCACTGGACCATTGGGCATAAGCTATGGTAGCTTAAAACAATGCCTAAAACGGTTTAATTACCTGCAGATAACCAATTCTTTTACCACTGCTTCCAAGATTGGACATTTCAAGCATGGCAGCAATGTCTCTTACGCTGCCCCCAGATGAAGTTTTTTCGGAGGCAATGCCACAGTCACTACGTCTGCGCTCCCTGTATGTCACATTGAGTAGCAAATTGTTAGCCCTATTTTCACTAGACCTTGCATCATCTGCTGCAGCCTCATCAGCCAGGTTACCAGTGGAAATGGAAGAGCATGAACGTTTTGGTGGAGTTGGAGGACGAGTCCGTCTGCGCGGCCGAGCTGTAGCGAATGACTGACTGCGATTGACACTGTTGATGTCAAGAGTTTCACTAGAGGCTCTCGAAGAGCTGCTGGGTGTAACCCTATGTCCACCTAGTGTGGCGTATTTCACAGAGGAGTCTGGCATGGGTAAGTCATGCTCAGCATCAGTAACAATGGACTGTCCGCGTCTTGGCTGGGGCAGAGTTTGACTATTGCCCTCTTCGGTTTCTCTTTCAGGCGGTAGGCAAAGTAGGGGGACAGTACGAGCGTGAGCATGTGAACGAGGAGAGTCGCAAGGCCCTCTAGCCCTGCTCTGTGTTTTTAGCGGGGAGGAAGGAATGTGTGAAGGAGAATTTGAAGCAGAAGATGAAGTTCTGCCTTTAGTAGGGGTGTGTGGAGGTGTTGGGGTGGGACTCTCAATTGAGCTGGGTTTCTTCAGAGGAGGAGGGGCATTAGCTCTTTGTATGCCCCGCCCTTGGGTGCTGTGCCGGGGAGAGCTACGCCCCTCCGAACGTCCCTCTGTTCTTTTACGTATACGAACAGAGGGGACAGAGTTCTCATCTGGTTCTGTGCTGGTTTCTAATGATTGTTTTGAACCTGTGCTTTCTTCTAACTGACTCTCCTTGATGGCAATGTCTGCTTCTGGAGATTCACTCAGTCGCTTGATGGCTAACATCAACTTCTTTTGGTGTCCTTGGTGGAAAGAAAAGGCAGAGGTGGAAAGTTATTATTTTTGTCTGTTAGGTTAAGCCTGTAAGCTTTTCCCTGCTGAAAAGACCAGCATGAATTATTAGAACAGTATCAATGGCACCTGGTACCCTGAGTTATGCCAAGGATTTGGCAATCAGGCCTGATTGTGGTTTAAGTCAAGTGCTGACAAAAGAGGTGTGCCAGCATCTTCTTGAAAGTTCTCATACCACCACAGAAGAATGTAGAAAACAAAAAGAAGAAACATAGACTTTATGGCTAAACAACACATAGGATATTCATCTGATATCCAACTTATTCAACATCTATGCTTTGGAGTATTCAAATATCCTCCTATTCCTCATGACATTTAGTAGCAAAATGTAGCTGGTGAGGCTGCTTGATCAAGGAAGTCTAGTTGGTTAAGCTAGATAAGAAGACTGGTTGGGCACACGAGCACAAACATGCCTCCATCCAAAACACAACATACTGGTGATCATTCATGCCAGTCTTTTCTGCATAAATTCTAAATGTAAACATAAGTATGTGTAGTATACATGCCTAGTTTAGTGATGCCGATCTCTTTTAGGTCCTCCAGGGTAATATCACTAATGAAGTCCATATTGTCATAGCCGTTTTGAACCAATGTCTGGTAATACTGATTGAGACCAATTGCCGACAGCCACTCAGCCAGATTTGACTATAAGATGCAACATCAAGTTCACATTACACATCACATAAAATTGTACATGTGAGTATATAAATACTGTATAATCAGCAAACCGCTTTATATATTAAAAAAATGAGCATGCATTTCATGTAAGGCCTGATAATCATGTTCTACAATATAACTTTATAAATGTACGTATTTGATAAGAGACTTAAAAATAGACAAATTCTGAAATGTTGAATTCCAGATTTCTGGAACACCACTTTTTTCTCGTACGGGTTTCTCTTGAGGTATCCAGTCTGGGATGTTTATTTTGCTGATCTCTGAAAGCATTTTCTTCCTGTGCCCTGGTTTTGTCACTCCAATAGCAGTGAGGTCCTGTGGGGTGCACACACATACACACAGCTTATAAAATCTCAAAATTGATATAAACAGTTAGAATAATTGCAAATATATATATATATATATATATATATACAAAAGAATTAAAGAACTATTTGCAAAAATGTATTATGTATTTTACTATTCTGACTGTCCCTATAATGTAAAGTGGACCCAAAAATAATAAGGGCACTTAAGTCACTCTCTAAATTATTTGAATGTTATAACGATATTTTGTGTTGAAAGTCTCAAAATATTTTTGGGGTCACTATGCATATATAGTTACAGAATGCAACACTGATTCTGTCTTTAATAGAATAAAGAATACATCATTTTAATATTTCAAGAGACTTTGCATCATATGTATTAAATGCTCACACAGACACAAGGAATGATGATTGACAGCGTTTATCTGAGCATTGTGTGTTTGCATTACCTCTGGTGTCATTCTGCTTATGGTCTGCAGGTCATAACCAGCAGTGAGAAAGTTTGTTGTGTAGAACTGCAGCTGTGCACTAGTGAGCCATTCAACAACAGCCTCTGAGCTCTAAAACACACACACACATACACGGCAGGGAAAAACAGAAATGCATCAATAATTCAGACATTCCTTTGACAGATTCATGATTCCAAGTCCAGATATGTTATCAAAGTGTGTCAGGCAGTCCACACTATAACCACTGTGTGGCAGCAAATAACATACTTCCTTAAAAATCTTACTTCACTACTCAAAAAGTATCATGGCAATACTATGGTTTTACTGTAGGATATATTCTTTAAAATACCTTGATATAAACGCTAACATATGAATATAGTAATCATTCATCGTTATAATACATCAAGGTACTATGGTATTTTAATCTGATACAATGATGGTGCCAATTTACTAACACAGCAACAGCTTTGACTAAAAAATTATCATAATATGTTATATTTATTAGAATTCACACAATCTTTCAAATAACTGGGGTCAGTACGATTTTTTAAAAGAAATTAATACCTTTATTAAGCAGAGATGCATTTGATATAAACGCTAACATATGAATATAGTAATCATTCATCGTTATAATACATCAAAGTACTATGGTATTTTAATCTGATACAATGATGGTGCCAATTTACTAACACAGCAACAGCTTTGACTAAAAAATGATCATAATATGTTATATTTATTAGAATTCACACAATCTTTCAAATAACTGGGGTCAGTACGATTTTTTAAAAGAAATTAATACCTTTATTAAGCAGAGATGCATTAAAATTGACCGAAAGTGAGAGTAAAGACATTTATAATGTTAATGTTAAAGATTTCTATTTCAAATAAATGGTCTTTTGAACTTTCTATTGGTGAAAAAATCCTGAAAAAGCATCACATTTCCTACAAAAATACTAAGCAGCACAACTGTTTACAGCATTAATAACAATAAATCTTTCTTGAGCAACAAATCAACATATTAGAATTATTTCTAGCGGATCATGTGACACTGAAGACTGGAGTAATGATGCTGAAAATTCAGCTTTGCCATCACAGGAATAAATTACACATTAAAATATGATGAAATAGAAAACAGTTACTTTCAATTCTATCAATTCTAGCATTATTTTTTATCAGTGCTTTGGTGAGTATAGGAGACTTCTTTTAAAAACATTAAAGAATCATACAAACTTTTGGAGAGTAGTGTATGTTTAAAAGTGTATAACCTTAAGTTTTACTATATTCATTCTCATTAAAACACTCACCAAGTATCTGACCACCCAAGAGACAAATATAGACACATTATGATTCACATAAACAAATCTGGTCCACCACACACAGACACACACACACTTGCCTTGCTCTCAACTGAAGCTTCATCTTTCCTCTGCAGCAATGGATCCACAAAGGGTTTCTTCCTTTGCTGACGTGGGACAGCAGATGCACTCTGAGTGCGCTGAGAAGACACTACGGGGGAAAAAAATAAAAATGTAAAACAATTTTTATATTTTTACTTATTATGACTCTGAATAGTAGTATGGGCTTATGAGTATGGACATATAAGATGTGTACAAATGAGACATGGATAAAACCTAGATAGATAGATAGTTATTTTTTTAAGTTTTCTGATAGATTCTTTTGCTCTTTTACTTACTTCACACATCCCCTAAAAACCACCTGGACACCATTACATGTACAAAAGTAACTAAAATGTCTGAGAAAAATGAAGTTCCTGAGAATACTGGTATATATATATATATATATATATCGCAGTACCTGAATTAGGATCTAAAGACTGAGATTGGTCCATAAGATGTTCTTTTGCTTTGGCTGACTGGGACAGCACCGTGGCCAACAGCTAAAACACACACACACAAATGCACACACACATGATCAGTAATGTGAGAAATAAAGAGAAAGACAGACACATCTGTCCTTGTGTGCATCTTTGGGCTTTGTGTGCGCCACACCTTCACGCCCTCGGCCTGAGCATGCAGTCCCGGGACGTTGAGGCCATGCGTGTTAACCCCGGGTGAGTGCGTGGGGGTGGTTGGCACGGGCACAGGTGAGTTGGTGAGGTGAGCGTTGGCATTACTGCTTTGTACGCTAGTAGATGAACGTCCACTGGTCAGACTGCCTGTGCTGCCCATACTGCCAACACTGCCCCCTGCTGGTAGATACAAGTTATCATGCAAGAAAACGCACAAAAAACTGTTGAGTATGCCCATGTTTGTGCATATGTTTGCTTTAACTACTTAGAGAAACATGAGAGATTCAAAATGCACATTCAGTAGTTCAGCGTGTGTTTGGTTTGCTGACAAATAACATGACCATATTTGAATTTATATGAATGTAAACAATCAAATGTCATTTAGGGTTGCATTAAAACATTTATCCGTATTGCTGTCACAATGTATCACGAGATGCATTTGAACCAAATATGTGGTGCGACAACTCGTGAAGCACTGTAATTGAATGCACAAATGAGATTTGTTGATATTTTCGATGAAAAACAACTTAAATGTCTTTTCATCATACTATGGTATGGTATGGCTTCTGAGTTGTAATATTGTCCAATTTGGACTACTTTTATCTGCTTTTTTAACTTTTAGGATCTTGACAATGTAAATTGCTGTATTTTTATGTATGAAAAAGGTAATACATTCAAAATAATTAAATAAATACATGTTTGGAACTAAATAGTCCTGTTTACTTATTTATACACTAATATTAAAAATATATGTTTTTGGTTTTTTTTTTGGTCAAAGAATATCATAAAAAAAGCATAAAATCAGGTATAAATTACATTTTAACATATATCAAAAAAGAAAATAGTTATTTAAAATTGTAATAATATTTCACAATATTACTGTTTGTTTTACTTGATCAAATAAATGCAGCCTTGGTGAGTATAATGTCAAAAACAATATAAATCTTACTGATCTCAGACTTTTGAATGGTAGTGTATATTTTTAAATGCATAAATATTCCATGTAGTCTCTCAGTTAATGAGACCATAATAAATGCTGCAAACATAATATGAATAATTAAAAAAATATATAGTTTTAGATAACATATAGCATGTCACATCAACTGTCCAATGAAAAACTGCATTTACCAGCTAAAGGTTTCCTCAGTACCCAAATCTCCTCATTAGCGCCACTCTGCTGGCCGCTAAGGGTTGGAGAACCATGAGGGCTGGAAACGGATCCCCTTGAGCCTGAAAAATATCAGTCACACACAAACACAGTGATGTAAGAATAAAAACATTACTTTTCAAAATCTTAATTGGCAACCACAGATGCACACTGAGGGAGCAGATAGCAAAGGGATCATTTAGGGCAGTTTAAATGGACTGTAGCAGATCCGTCAGTAATCTGGGAGCCTTGCTGATGAAAATATATGTTATGTTTGCAAATACAGTTTCATGCAAAAAATATTCAGACCCCTTACAGAATTAGAAAACTCCAGTTAGCTGTGAAATTTTATGTCTAGTACTGAAACAAAAAAGTTCCTAATTACTGTACAACAGCAATTTTCAGAAAACGTGCTGTAATACAATTTGTTTTGTTTTTATATTCATAAAAAGACAGTGCAACAAATAAGTTAACATGCAAGGTAAAAATGAACTTATGTACACTTGAACAAAATAAAAAAAACTAAAAACTATACTCATGCATATTATTTCCACAACATACAGTATACTTGCAATGCATTCCCGCCAAAAACATATTTATAACTGATCTATGTGCTATGCATGCAGACTACATTCATGCATGAAAAAGGAAGATAATAGGGATCGGGAAGTGTGTTGGAGTGTCGCCTATGTACATCGATCAATATATATTTCAATATTGGCATATTTCAATATTGAAGAAAACGTGTAAAGTAAAACCCAGCAATGAATTTTGTAATCGCACAGCTCATAGAGCCCCACTGGGAGTTTATGGCACACACCTGTACTGATTTTAATGGTACAAATATCAATGTTCATCTGACAAGAGGAACTGCACAATTTGGCCATAAATTGTGTAATTATATAAATATGACTATATATATCTAAAAAAAATAAATAATAATTAGTAGTAGTAGTAGTCTTATTAATTCATATTAAAGTAAGATATATTGCTATTTTAATATTTCTCTGTAAAACGTATTTAAGAAAAAATATTGGCATATTTCAATATTGAAGAAAACGTGTAAAGTAAAACCCAGCAATGAATTTTGTAATCACACAGCTCATAGAGCCCCACTGGGAGTTTATGGCACACACCTGTACTGATTTTAATGGTACAAATATCAATGTTCATCTGACAAGAGGAACTGCACAATTTGGCCATAAATTGTGTAATTATATAAATATGACTATATATATCTAAAAAAAAATAAATAAATTAGTAGTAGTAGTAGTCTTATTAATTCATATTAAAGTAAGATATATTGCTATTTTAATATTTCTCTGTAAAACGTATTTAAGAAAATCAAAATAGTAATTTGGCAATAAAATTAGTAAATTTGCTGAATTTTTTGGTGGTAAACAGCAGAAGCTTCTCTTTTTTTGACCTCAGTCGATTTATATACTTCTCATTACAAGTTTGGAAATATTGTTGGCTCATATTGCCCAAATGCACAGTAAGCGACCCAAACTCAGAGCATATGCAGGGATGAATTCCTGTAGATCAACATTTACTGCAAACTGAGTCACTTCGAGAAACTAAAAACCACTGGATCATGAGCTGCTCACGTGTACATAAACACAGTGCCACGCTTCACTTTGAAACTTGCAGCGCATATATTTATTTAATTAAATCGCAACCTTTTAGATTTGATAATCACATTTAGACACTTTTTTATTATGATTAATCGTGCAGCCCTACTTTTTAATTATTGTATTTTTAGGTCTTGCCTAACAGCTTCTCTTATATGGACTAGATCGCAACCAGCCCAACACAGCTTTAAAAGCACAACCCATGGCATTGGAAAAGTAGTAGTTTGAGAAGTATGCATAACAAATTGCAGACACCAGAATAAAAAAAAAATTAAATCTGAATATATATTCTGACACTGATAAGTGATGTTTCTTCACTTTCAAGAAGCAGCAGCCGCCGCCACTGATTTGCATGTATAAATGTGTGAAAACCTGTTTTCATGTGTGTGAATGTACAAAAGTGAGAATTCACTGATGTGAGTTGAAGGAAAATAAATGAGGGCATGAAACGATGGTACAGGTGGACTCAGAGATGACCGAACAGTGACAGATAGATGAGTCACTCTCATCTGCCCTGTTTGTCACTGCCTCTTTCATCTCTTCAAGCTGACGCTTCTAATTAGAATCACTTGACTGGTGATAAAGGGCAGGACAGTTGGATATAGAGCGAATGAACGACCACCCACACATCCACACACATCTACTATGGGCATGAATACATATTTTGAAATACAGACAGCAATGATCAATGATCAATGATGAAAATGCAATAATTGTGAGGGATTTAATTTTGTTTACAACTTAAAAATATTTCAACTATTTATTTATTTATTGCTATATGGTTTTTAGGGTGATTTTTTTAATGTGTTGCAATGTGGTTGCTACAGTATTCTTTGTGGTTGTTGTTTGTTTGTTTTTTTGACTACTAAAGCATAAAAGTATGCATAACAATTACAAGTTTGCAGATATTATGCAAAGTTCACATACTTGTTTCTCTGAAAAACAATGCTACAGCCAGTTATTCTGTTTTGAAATGTGTGTTCTGTGTTGGAATGTCTGTTTTTGTTTTGGTCTGTGTGATTCCGCCCACTGCCAATTTACCCAATAGTACATCAACATTCTGGGTTGCCAGTTGTTGGAAATTACAGCGTATTGAAGCCATAGAAGCCAGCAAACAAACTGGGTGAGAGATCACAGATTCTACCTGACCTAAAAAGCCTTGGTATCCATCTAAAAAGCTCTATGACCAAAGGAATATTAAAACGCAGATAAATCAAGTTTTCAACTTACAGTGTAAGGCGTGTCACCTTCCATTGTCAATTGTGTTTGCTCCTCTTGCGTATCCCCAATCTGGCATCCTGTGTAAGTGTTAAAGGAACACTCCACTATTTTTTCCAACTCCCCTAGAGTTAAACAGTTGAGTTTTACCGTTTTCGAATCTATTCAGCCGATCTCCGGGTCTGGCGGTAGCACTTTTAGCTGTAGCTTAGCATAGATAATTGAATCTGATTAGACCGTTAGCATCTCGCTCAAAAATGACCAAAGAGTTTCTATATTTTTCCTATTTAAAACTTGATTCTTCTGTATTTACATCGTGTACTAAAACCGACAGAAAATGAAAAATTGTGATTTTTTTAGGCCGATATGGCTAGGAACTATACTCTCATCCCGGCATAATAATCAAGGAACTTTGCTGCCGTACCATGGGTGCAGAAGGCGCAATGATATTACGCAGCACCTGAAAATAGTCCCCAGATAGGTAACTTCCAACGTGACCGGCACTAAGTTTGTGTAGTTGGTTATGTTGACGGAAGTTGGCCTATTTTCAGGCGCTGCGTAATATCATTGCACCTGCTGCACCCATGGTACGGCAGCAAAGTTCCTTGATTATTTCATTTTTGAGCGAGATGCTAACGATCTAACCAGACCCGGAAATCGGCTTAATGGTTTAGAAAACGGTAAAACTCAACTGTTTAACTCTAGGGGAGTTGGAAAATGAGCCTATTTTCAAAAATAGTGGAGTGTTCCTTTAAGTCTAAGGATGACAGCAACTCTCTCCAGTATTTTGAATTTAGACTGCAGTACCCATTTCAACCACTAGCTGTCAATATTACATACTGCATCTTTAATGAAGTGCTATGTGGTTGCCAAGAGTGTACTTGGTGGTTACTCAAACTGTCCACTCTGTCTCTATGATATTCTGGTCTTACAATCAATCTACACTGCTGTTCAAAAGTTTGGGATCAGTAAGATTTTTTATGCTTTTTAAATCATCAAGGCTGTATCTATTTGATCAAAAATACAGAAAAAAATTTTATTTTGTGAAATATTATTGCAATTTAAAATAAGTTTTCCATTTTAATATACTTTAAAATATAATTTATTCCAGTGAAGCAAAGATGAATTTTCAGCATCATTACTCCAGACTTCGGTGTCACATGATCCTTCAGAAATTCTTTTTTCTTTTTACCTTTTTATTCATCAAAGAAAAAAGTATCACAGGTTCCAATAAATAAATAATAATAATAATAATTAAAAAAACTTAAAAATCGTACTGATCCCAAACTTTTGAATGGCAGTGTAAGTCTATGGGATTTTTTTGATTTGTCAGTAACATCTAATCACTTTCTCTCTTCAGCAAGCTGCATAATTTGCAGTGTCATTTATGTCAGCGGGTTTGTTCCAATAGTAATCGTGATATCTGCTCCCTTAGTACTTAGTTGATTTATCTACTTACTTATTTTATTTAAGTACTCAAGTGGATGAAATAAACAAAATGCCCATCCCTAACACACACACACACACACACACACACTTGAAAATGAATACATAAACACTCATGTATGCAGAAATGCATGCAACTAAGACAAAATCATTCACGCACATACACAAACGCGCAGACATTTATTTAAGTGCCAGGTAGATGAGCTTCAGATTGACCTTAATGTAATGTGCATATGTGTCACATGACATCCTAGAAGGGTCATGCGGTGATGCAATGGCACACCTGCCCTTTTGATGACTTCCACCATGTTGGACGGAAAGTAACCCACACGGTCATTTCCTGTTCGGTTGTCGTGGATACAGCCCTTCCATCGTCCATCAGAATGCTGCTCCAAGACCTGAGGACCAAACAGAAATGTTCCAGAACGAGCCTGCAGTAGAAAACCACTGAGACATACATGCACTGCACCATGTGACAACACTAAAATAATTTCAGTGTAAAAATGCTCCTTTTGCTCATTACTATTTTGGTCGTGTTTCTTTGTTTATTTATTTATTTGTAGCATTCAAATGTTCAAAAGAGCAGCATTTATTTGAAATAGAAATATTTTATAACATTATAAATGTATAGTATTATACATTTGTATAGTAAGTATTAATGTCTTTCAAAAACAAATCTTACTGATAAAATTTTTTTAATAGAAGTGTATAGAAAGAACCACTATAGAGTTAAAAAAAGTGCTTCGTTCCTCTTAAGAAAATATGCATGCCATCCCTGGGTGTAAAGTTTAGTTAAAATTCAGAAATACACACCTTGCTACATTACAATGTTACAGTTCAAGAATTGCTTCTTTACCGTGATGATATCGCCTGCTTTAATATTGAGGCTTGTCAGGTCGTAGTTGTTGCAGTAATCCTTCAGAGCCCTCACTTGCATGGCAGCCGATGCATCTGTATGCAGGAACACACACACAGATACCAGCGAATTTAGAAAGCCTTGGACATTTCTATGTGATTTTGTGTTTTCAGAAACGTTCCCCTGTTTTACCTCTCAGCATCTGTTTGATTTCCTTGCTGGCTTGGGTAGTGGTGAACTGGTTAACAATATCCAGCGCTGTCTGACAGTACGTGTTCCTCACCCCAGCACTGATACCACTCTGAAGAGATAGAAAACACATTCACTTGGTACATAGTGGTTATGCTGTCGATACAGACATGCTAAGGAGCGCACACATTCATATATGTAAAAATAAATAAACTCTCAAACTAAAATGAACAAAAAATAAGCACTAAATACAAGTAAAACTTGGCTTTGGCGAGTAAATAAAGCACAATTGGCCAGCCATTTATCTCGTACAATACATGATGATTTTTATGATTATGTTTTTATCATTTTTGACTCAATGACCTGTGATTGGCACTTCTGAAAACACTACTGCTCAAAGGTTTGGGATCAGTTTGGGTGTTTTTTTTCTGAAAGAAATTAATACTTTTGTTCAGCAAATATGCAATAAATTGATCAAAAGTGACAGTAAATACATTTATAATGTTAACAAATTTTCATCTCTTCTTTCTATTAATCAAAAAATCCTGAAAAATGTATTATGGTTTCCACAAAAATATTAAGCAGCAACCGTTTTCAACATTGATAAGAAATGTTTCTTAAGCAAGAAATCTTAAGCATATTAGAATGATTTCTTAAGGATTATGTGACATTAAAGACTAGATCAATGATGCTGAAAATTCATTAGAAGAATAAATTAAATCTGAAAACACAACACAATAAAATATTTCACAATATTACTGTTTTACTGTATTTTTTATCAAAATAATGCAGACTTGGTGAGCCTAAAAGACATCTTTAATAAACATTTAAAAAATCTTACCAACTCCAGACGTTTGAATGGCAGTGTATATTTAAAAAAAAAAGAATCCATACCATTGGCAAGCAGTCAAATGAATTACTCACATCCAGCAGCAGTCGTACAGCCTCGGTTTTCCCGCAGAGAGCAGCTTCATGCAACGCTGTGCCTGATTTCGTCTGTCGGTTTATATCTATACCAGCCTGGATCAGTAACCTGAACACATACACACAAGAAAACGTCATAAAACCATTTTTATTTCATTTAAACACACTAAAAGACTTATTTCACAACACTATTCTAAACAGTACAAAGTGTATTAATCTGTACATAAAAAGATAAGTTCTAATTCTAAAAAACACTTCTTTTCAGAAAAAAAGGTTATTAAAATAAAAACTTGAAGGGGTCCATATACATCAAGTATAATGATCAATTTGCAACAATTTATACTAAGTCTAAAACATGACCTTCACACCTATCCAACCGAACACACATTCATATTGATCCATAAACAACCTAATAAGTGCGTTGAGTGATGAAATCCCTAATTAACGTTGCGCGTCACTAGGCAGTGATGGCACTGTCCATCAAAGGGAAAAATGAGGACACGCACTTTGAATGTGTGTGTGCAAATCTAATGAATGAAGCCTCCGGCGACTGATCGGACAGCCCACAGTGCCTTTCATTTCTCTCATCATCCCTGATCCCTTTGCTCCTGACCTGTCTTAGCACATCAGTCATGCAGTTTTGTGTCAGTGAGCTAAATGCTGTGTCAGGATTTCGCACCGTCAATGTCTGTCCCCTTGTAAAGAATTGAAATGAAAGCAATAATAAAACTAGTACAATTCCTCATAAAAAAATGTCATAACATCCTCTGAGTTTTGCAGACTTTACATCCATTACCATTCCAAAGTTTAAAGGTGACATATCATGAAAATCTGACTTTTTCAGGTTTTAAGTGCTATAATCAGGTCCCCAGTGCATCTACCAACCAAGGAAACGTGAAAAAGATTAACCCAGTAACTTTGTTTCGGTAAGCCTTTTTCTGCAAGCGTCTGAAAAAACGAACGCGTCAGATTTCGCTCCCTTGGTGACGTGGTAAAGGGATCTCATTATAATATTACCTCCCCTTAATCTGTAAGTTTCCACCCACGGTGCTGTCATTTTGCATTTCGCAAGCGAACAACGGTGTACCAGCTCTAATGCCATGGCGAAAGTTTGAGCAAAACATGCTAACTGATCTGTCTTTGGCTGCACAGACGAGCACAGAACACTATTGAGAGTCCCAGCCTCAGAGGAGACAACAAAGCAGTGGATTTAATGATATATTTACTGTATATTGCTGCTGCCACACAGATCTAAAATAAAGATGCAATTTATTTCCCAGCTGTTTACCTTCACAGACATAACCGACTGTTTTTGTAACTCATGTGTGTTTTTAATGTAATCTTGTGTGTGAATGAGAACTTAGTTTAGTACTCAAATGCCGTGTGACAGCCGCTTTCTGTCCGTGTGCTTCGGATGTGTGCACTCAGAAAACCGTTTATCATGAGTTTAAACTATTATGGTTTAAAAGCATGATTTCAGCGCGATAAACATAATAATCGGAACCAAAACAGATGTTTTTTTAGTAGGTCCAAGCTGTAATGGCGCAGCTCTATTATGGAAAAGGGGGCGGGGAGCAGCAGCTCATTTGCATTTAAAAAGGTAGGCACGAAAAACAGCGTGTTTCTGCTTTTAAAGTTTTTAAAAGATGTCTCTTAGGCTTACAAACAATAATATAATAATGAAATATTATTAATATTAAAATAACTGTTTTCTGTTTTAATAGAAAACTTAATATTTTTGTGGAAATAATTTTGGAAACAAATATTTTCAGAATTCTTTGATGAAGAGAAAGTTTAACAAAACAGCTTTTTTTGTGACAGTGTAAAAGGCTTTACTGTCACTTTTGATCAAATTAATGTATCTTTGCGGAATTGAATGAGTCTTACTGAATCTCACTGAATTAATTACTTTAAAAAATGACTGTAGTAATTTTTTAACTGTCGTTTATATACTGCATAAAATTATGTTCATATACAGAAGTCATTTGAGTCCAAATTGTGAAGAATTGCACAAAATCTTTCAAGACTGTAAAAATTATATTTATTAAAATATTTTTAATTAAAATCAATATAAAGGCAGTTCAACCAATTCTGTTATGATAAATACATAATAAAATACAATATAAATCAAATTTATTTTCACATTGACTTTTCAAGACTTTCAGGAGGGAAATGTGTTTAATTATCATGACATGAAGGTAATGCCACAAATCTGAATTATAATTAAACCAGAATTATGAACATATATTTCCTATTTCTTCTTCTTTGGGTTTTGGGGTGAAATATGAGCCACACTTTACCCATTTATATTTTTGTGAGATTCACCAAAAAATGGAAGGCATGGTAAGACAAGAATTCATGATATTAAAAATATAAATGATAAATTGTTCTAATCACCTCACTGGACAGTTTGAGATTTAAGTTCTAATAGATGGCAAATTACATGTGCAACATATGAGCATATGATTTATAATAATATGCTCACTTGAACTGTACCAGTAAAGATAGGTTGTATGCACGTAACCTTATTTGTAAGATGTAACCTAAAAGACGACTTCAGTGCATATGTGTAGCAATAAAGTGCAAAAGGGCAAAGTCCAGTGAACACCTACTTGATGATCTCGATATGTCCATTCTTAGCCGCCAAATGGAGTGGACTGATGCCATTGGGATCGGAGGGCTTCGGTTCTAACATAGCAGCACACATGTTACTGTTCAGGAGCAACTGCACCAGCTGTAGAACACACAGAAAAGATACATGCATACTGCACAAACACAGCTTACATAGGTGTGTCATTTCTGTTTGATCTGCTATATATTCATTCTTTCATTCTGTAGATATTTAAAGAGATAGTTCACCCAAAAATTCTGTCATCATTTACTCACCCTCATGTTGTTTCAAACCTGCTGAACACAAAATAAGATATTTTGGTAGTCAAATAGTTGTTGGTCTCCATTGTCTTCCATAGTATGGGGAAAAAATGCTATGGAAGTTAATGGGGACCAGAAAACGACAAATATTCTTTAAAATATCTTCTTTTATGTTCAGCAGAATAAAAATTCAGACAGGTATGGAACAACTTGAGGATGAGTAAATGTTTTGGGTGAACTGTGCCTTTGATCAGGAACAATACAGATTAATAATACATAGAAGCAATGTAAAATGTGCCATATTTAGCCAAGATTTTCATCTGTAGTCCCTGTGTAGGTTGATGTTAAAAGAAAAAAACTGTATATACAGTAAATACACAATTATTATACTAAGATCCTTATAAATGTCTCAGAACAAAAAGTAGACCGAAGGAAAAAAAAAATACTATAATGACTATGTATATGTCCAAAAAATGTTGCATTTAATAACCACCTAGATAACCACAGTAATTCAGATGGGTTTCACTTAAATAACTGTGTAGGAAAAGGGTACTGTTGCCCACAAAATCAAACCATTATGTGCAAAATAATGAATTTGTACCTCACACAGAATTTAACTATAAAACTGCACCATATATTATACAATACATTACATGTTTTTATTTTATGCTGTTAAAAACGTTTTGTCGGTTAATGGTGCTGTAAATATATTTTTATGGAATAGCATGCAATAAAAGTCATAATACCTGAGAGATACCACAGAAATAGATATCGTGAGAAATCACACCTGTCTCTCTGACAGCTTTAAGCTCTGTCAACAGCAAAAAGGGATTCGATCGCTATTGTTTAGCCAATCAGAAGACTTTGAGTCACTTTGACCTGTCAGTCACTTTGAGTGTTTGGATAAGCTGACATTCGGTTTGCTGACATGTTTTTGGAGCGAGATATTTTGAAGAGAGGGAGTCATCTAATTCAATATCTGAGTCAGGCTGGAAGTTAGCAAAACAGAACATTAGGCCTATATACGGCAACTTTCACACAAAAAAATCTGCCTTTTTTAAGTGCAAGAAATTATTTGTCAATAAAACAAACATGAATGGTAAGGAATAGTTGCCTCAATGACTTACCCTCCAAACCCAGAAATGTATTTCTTCTAGAACACAAAAGGAGGCTTTCAAGCTTCAGACGGATGCCAAAACACCATAAAAGTATCATACACTCATAAATTCATACATGGACTCATATATAGCGCAAGACCTCTAAAGCTGATAGATTTAAGTGAGGAACAGACTGAATTTAAAACCGTTTTCAATGGATCCAGACAACTTCCCTAGCTCTCCTTATTGTGTTCACATGAAAAGCAGTGATTCATTCACAAATGAATCATTCATTTAAGTAGAATCTTCTGTGAAGTGAATCGGATCCCGTTCCCAAATGCAAAATGCTCCATTCACAAATCAGACTGATTTAGTTCTCTGAATGATCTCAGGGAATTCAGTGATTCAGTTACAACGGTTAGCTGCTCACTGAGGTGAAGATCATCAGTAAATTACACAAAGTAAATTTTTTGTGATGCCAAAAGCACTTTTCTCAGTGTGAAAAATATTTGAATAATATGAAGAACATTTTCCCACTGTGAAGAACCTTTTTTGCAGTGGAAAGATTCCATGGATGTTAAAAGCTCTTCATGGGACCATAGATGCCAATAAAGAACCCTAATTTTGAGTCAAGCTATCATATGACTTCAGATGATTTGAAATATAGTGCATATGGATTTATAACACATTTTTGGCTCTTTTAATATTTTGAAATAGCATCCAGTACCATTTTAAAAATTCCCCTGTCGTGTTCCATGGAAGAGAGAAAGATTTGAGGTTGAGCAAATGGTGACAGAATATTAATATTTGGAGAAATCGTCCCTTTAAAAAAAAACATGTTATAATAAACTGTTATGACAATCTCTTGTGCTCATTTGGATGCAGTGAAAACCGGGCTGTGAGTGAATAAGGGGTTTCCTGCATTTGGCTGAGAACGTGAGAAGAGGTGTAGTTCCCACAATCCCACAGGGCAGCACCGTTTCTCATCTATCTATCACAAACACCCCACGTACACGCAGACAGACACGCACAAACACAGCGTAACTGACCGTGACTCGTCCAAATTCACAGGCCAAGTCTAGAGGGGTTTTCCCAGCGTGGTCTCTGAGGCAGGGGTTCGACTGATGTTGGATCAGCATCTCGCTCTGCAAACACACACAGTACAGTACAGTGAGTATGTGTGTGTACAGCATGAGTCTAATTGTTTATGTGTGTGTACTCACTCCTTCATAATGGCCGTGTTGTGATGAGAGGTGTAAAGGGATCTGGCCCTCATCTGATTGGCTGTTGACTGATGACCCAGCCTTGAGCAGCATTTTCATGGGCTCACACTTGCCCTGCCAAGCAGCGTAATGTAAGGGCCGCATCCCTTCAGAAAAAGGGAAGAGACAGAGTTAGAATGAGAGACATACACTCTACCATTCAAAAGTCTGGGGTCAGTAAGAAATTCATACTTTTATTCATCAAGTACACATTAAACTGATCAAAAGTGACAGTAAAAACATTTATAATGTTACAAAGATTATTATTTTGAATAAGTGTTGTTCTTTTAAACTTTTTATTTATCAGAAAACCCTGTAAAAATCACGTTTTCCACAAAAATGTTATGCTGTGCAACAGTTTTCAACAAAACATGTCTCTTGAGCAGCATATCAGCATATGAGAAGGATTTCTGAAGGATCACATGACACTGAAGACTGGAGTAATGATGCTGAAAATTCAGCTTTGCCATCACAGGAATGAATTTCATTTTAAAATATAATACAATAGAAAACAGTTATTTTAAGAAACAACAGTTTTGATAATTGATTAATCTGTGTATTAAGTAAATACTGCACATTCAAGAGACAGTTACTACTAACTGGACTCAATACATCTGCATGTGTATGTGGTGCTGTGTGTTTGTACCTTTCTGGTCTTTGATGTCTACGACGGCTTGTGACTCAAGCAACAGTGAAATCACCTCCACGTTACCATTAAGAGCAGCATGATGCAGGGCAGATAACCTATAAAACAAAAGCACACAAACACATAATGCGTTAACCATTTCTACTGACATTTAGAATCTGTATAGGTTTCTGGAGGCAAACCTGTGGAATAGATTTAAATATGGAAAGTATCGTTGTGAAAGTAACTGATTTACTGTACATTGAGAAAGACCAGAACATAATGTCACATTTAAAACAAGAAGTAATTGTTACAATAGGAGTTATTGGGTGCAACTGTTAGAAATTCTATTAACCCACTGTATCTCAAATTCCTGCCATATAAGAAAAAAGCCATACTTGTTTGGTAAATCATAATTATGACACAGAATGTCATAAATATGAGATAAAAAAGTTGAGATTATGAGATAAAAAGTCTATTTTGACCTATGTCAAAATTATGACATAAATAGTATCTTATAATTCCAACTGTTTATTTCATAATTTCGACTAAGATATAATTACGACAAATTACAACAAAAATGTAAACTATAAAAATGTAAAAATCTTTTAGCCTTTAGAAATACTGAGAGTTCAAAACAGAAGTAAAAGTGGGACCAACATTATAGGTATCTAAAATAAGTTAAATCTTTTTTAATAAAATATATTGATTGCCTGTTGCACCAAAACACTCTGCAAGCTAGACATTTTGATGAAATCATAATCATTGCACATTTGAAAGATTTTTTTTTTTCAATTCAGTTATACATTTTTAGCACACTGTAAGCAGAGATACAGTTGCTCAAAACTTTAAAGCCATGATCAAATCTGGTATGGTAGCTGTCAGCAACAGTGTTAGCATCTGTCATTCATGTTAACGTCTAACCAACAACCAAGTTATTAGATAGATATTACTATGGATTCAAGACAACAGACATTCAGGCAGCAGAAGACAAAAATCTGACTGTTTTTGATTAAATAACTGCCCTCAGTCACCTCTACTACACTCTAACTGGTAGCTGAATCATAAAGACCAAAAATATTAAAATTTTCTGTTGAACAACATGTATTCAACATGTATTTAAAATGCAAATAAATAAGGAAAAACGAGATGATGTGTAGAACTTGAAAGCAGAAACTGGAACTGAATGGCAGGCACTATTATTCTGCAAAAAAATCTTTAGGTGTATCTGTGCGGGTCTACTAATTACTAGGCCAGTTCTTATTATATGATCAAAATATCTTCTTCAAAACAGCCTATATCTCCTCATAATACCCTAATCCTAATATCTCATTTCCAGCCCAAGTGCTTTCAGCCTACAGTGTAACTTTTTAGAGAGTCCCTAATCGGACTTCATTGCAGCTCAACACTTCACTCCGATCCCTCACTGCTTAACTGAGCAGGAGGCTATGACCTACTTCCATGAGTAAGAGATTTTTCTCTGCCAGAGCCCCAAGCCACGTGTGTACACACACACACACACTCTCTCACTCTCTCTCTTACTCTAATACACTTTAGCATTCTAATAACAACACACCTGTATTCTGCACTGTAGGAATCTTGAAAATTCATACAGTAAAAAAGTTCATTCAACATCATACTCGACTGTCCAGTAGATAATTTAGCCATGAGATGAAAACAGACTGTATGGCACTGACGTCACCAAGCACTCTTAGTTTTAAGACCACCTAACAGTCATTTGGGTAAATACAATTCACAATCCAATTGCTAATTAATACAAAGTCCTGATCCGTGTTACCTGGAAATATGTCACATTAAGTTGCAAATGCAGTTTCCTGTTGACTTTAATATAGGCAATGGCCACTGAATAGTCCACATCAGCTGATCACTAATTGATAGAGCATGAGTATAAATGAACCTCACCCGTCTGTGTCCTGGAAATTCACATTCACTTTCTTAGCAGCACCCAGGAGCTCTGGAGGGAAAACAGAAAACAGGTTTTATTAGTTTTAATTATTATAATTGTAAGGAAAAATGTTTAATTAATTTGGCCAAACTGAGACATTTGTAAAACTAACAAAAAATTATTGACCAGACGTAAACGTGATGCAATGATTACATATGAAAAGTAAAAATAGATGCTTTGTGTTTACTTTTAATACAAAATTGTAAAATAATAACAACAACAACAACAATACATGTTTAATTTTATTTATTTATTTAAATAAATAATAACTTATAATATGACTGGTCCTATTATAAATAGTAGTATAATTTACTAGTACATAACAATATCATACTAGTAAATAGTATTATAGTAGTATAATATTGTTTCTTATGAAGTCTTCATATATATAGATTACATGTCAAACATTGATAATTAATATCATTTAATGTTTCTGGAAATGCACCGAATGATGTGCAAATACACCAAATGTCAGAAAATATACTAAATGTTTATAAGTATTTCATGCTGAAAATTTACAAAAATCACATAAAAATATACATTAAGTTGTATGAATATATTCCAATTTAAAATGCATTCTTAATTCCATTTTAAAGGGGTCATATGATGCGATTTCAATTTTTCCTTTCTCTTTTAAGTGTTACAAGCTCTTGGTGCATAAAGAAGATCTGTAAAGTTGCAAAGACTAAAGTCTCAAATCCAAAGAGATATTCTTTAAAGTAGGGCTTGTTTGTCATTTCTCCGATCAAAAATGCAGACATGGTTTTATGTTTACGCGGCACGATGCAACGCAACACGTAAAAAGACAGTATAAGTCATTATAATCCGTAATTATGTCCCCACTGGATGCAACAAATGCCTCGTTTATAATGGGTTTTAATGTTTTTGAATCATCGCACCGGCCAGGACAAGGCATCACAATATGGTAAGGGGTGTAACATTTCCGTCAAACGCTTGAGGTAATCGGCCAATCACAACGCACTGGATAGCTGGCCAATCAGAGCACACCTCGCTTTTCAGACCAATGAGCTTTGTACAAATCGACGCATTTCAGAAAGGCGGGGCAGAGGAGAAACAATAATGTACAGTATGTGGAAAATAATGTGTTTTTTTAACTTTAAACCGCATAAACACATTTCATTAAACCAAATACGCAAAATAATGTTCTTTTTAGCAATATCATATGACCCCTTTAAGTGATTTCTTGCTTTGAAGCAGAACCCTAATTAGCAGGTATAAAATACTTTCCCACCATGTTCATATCGAGGTCTAAGGTCAAAGCGAGATGTGGATCAGTCACAGAGGGGATTCCTCTCAGTCAAAGCCAGCAGGTAGAGTTTCCATTCATTAAACTCAAGCAAAACTGTTTAATCACAGCTGGTTATGAGCCACACAACCACAAATTACAAACCCACTGACAATCCTAATCAAAATCAAAGCTATGCATTAAATTCTGGGTGATATCTCCATCAAATGTCTATGGCTTGATATATTAATCTCCAGATGTATGCGTGTGTGTGTGTGTGTGTGTGTGTGTATGTGTGTTAAATGAAAGCAGTCCAGATGGCAGCCCTCTCAGAGTGTGAGACAAGCGATGGGGGTGTAGAGACAGAAATTTATAATGCAGGAAAATATCACAAAACGGTGAAATAAACAACCTGTATGTGTGTGTGTGTGCTGCTCATTTGACCTTAAAAACAGTCTTATTCTACTAAACATGCTTAAGAAGCTATTCATTATGCATAAATGATATTATTATTCATACTCGCTGATCACAGCCTAATCAATTATGCTTATGACTTGGTGAGGATGATGAATTAGTTAATTAATTTCCCTATTCAACATTATCTCTTGAAAACAGTAAATTAATAGATACGTAATTAGAGCACATTTAATATACAACAACTAATTAAGCATCTCATTTTGTACAAACACACTCCCAGACATTCTATCTAAGTCACCTTCAGAAACACTACGGAATGAAATGATAAAAACGCAAATGAGCATTTCCATGACAACTCAATGTCACTGTGATGCTAATTAGAGAATGTGACAGAAATGGCAACGCCTCACCTGGAGTTGCTCTGCAATGTCTCTCTAGTATCATGATAAATGAGGACGTTATGGGTAGAAACATACATTTTGTATACATTCACAAACTGGCATCCATACAGTCGCACACCATGAGGTGTTTTGGAACTCGGTCATAATCCTTCCATGTGATAAATTATTCATACCATTATCACTGCAACCTCATTGGTGCCTGTTGCTATGGAAACCTTGACCTTAACCATGAGTCATGACAATAGCAATCGGTGTTGCCCAGCCCCTGCTCACGAGCACACAACATCTCCTGTGTTTCAAACATTCTTTAATACTCATCTTCCCCTTGGATCCTCTTTCAATGATGCATTCGGTTAATTCACAGCTTTATGCTCTAAAAAACCCAGCTGGAGTGTTTCAGAGTGTCTAAGACTTGGAAATCTACAAGAGGTTAAAGGTTAAGATGATATAATCCATCATCTGCCATGGAAAAATGCAGAAATCCAATTTTTGGTCATAAGCATAACAAGACTTCTCCCTAAGCGATGCTCAAAAAGTACAGAAATCCCTGGCATTGTGTTGCCATACAGTTTATGGTCTAGCTTTTAAAGGATTCGGTCACCCAAAAATGAAAATCTTGACTTCATTTACTTACCCATGCTGTTCCAAACTGAGAGGACCACAAAATGAGAAGTTTAGCAGAATGCCTGAGCTGCTCCCTTCCTTAAAAGAGACCTAATATGCCCCTTTTTACAAGATGTAATATAAGTCTCAGGTGTCCCTAGATTGTATCTGTGAAGTTTCAGCTCAAAATACAGATGATTTTACAGATCACAGATCATTTATTATATAATTTCAAATGCCTATTTTGAGTGGAAGCAGAAACATGCTGTTTTCATTCATGTCTCTTTAAATGCAAATGAGCTGCTGCTCCCTGCTAGTGATGGGAAGATCAGATCATTTTACTGACTCGGATCTTTGAATCTCATTCATCAAAATGAACAAATCTTTTTTCAAGTCATTTCCTTCACTTCAGCAGAATATTATTAAGATGTTACATGTTTATAGCCAAATTTCACAACACATTAACTTACGCGTAGTTTAGAATAAGACAATGCAATAAAACTATAATGCAGCCAAGGCCAAATTATGAGAAGAAAAAAAAAATTACATTTATTTTTTCAGGTTATGCAGTTTGTTAGTTTTCCTCACTACCCGATCTGTATAGTTCGTTCTTTGCTATGCAGTCTGTGCCGGAAACAGAACTGATTAGATCATTTCTCAGGTTCGAGCCATTCCGTTTCCATTTACAACAAAAAAACATTACATATTATTAACTGTATTCTGTTATTATATGTAGGTATCTTTGCTTTATCAAAGGAATTTTTCCTCATCATACGGATAAAGTTTAAAGCCTCTGTATTAAAACATTCAATGCTAACCATCATGACAGAAATTCACAAATGTATAAATTGTAAGAAATAAAAAAGCTACACATCACATAATTGTAAACGTGTGTGTGTAAGGAAGGTTGGGAATTATTAACTAATTTCTGTATCCAATGCTGCTGTCACATCACAAAAGAATGAACAAATCAGACCCGAAGATTCGAGAGGTGCACTAACATTTCTCCTTCCTATACAGACTGCATAGGGTCCATGGGGCTGACACGGGATGAACCAACGACTCGAACCCAAACCCGAAGACTCGAGAGGTGGACTAATTATTTCTGTTTCCTGTAAAGAACCAACAGGATGTTGCACATGCATGGTCAACATGAAATGAACAAATCCCTCGCTGAGACGACTCCATGTTCCCAAGTCATTTTGAAGATTAGTTCAAATTGAATGAATCATTCATGAACGACACATCACTACTCCTTGCCCCCTTTTCCAGAATAGGGCTGTGCATTTACAGCCTGTTCCTCAGATAATCTGCTAAAAAATCCTGTTTGGTTTTGATTATGTCTACTACGCTGAAATCATGTGTTTTAAAGCCATATTAGTTTAAACATCTGATACATGGTTTTCTGAGCACACACATTCAAAGAGAAAGTAGCTGTCACACGGCATGTGAGTACTGATAAGTATCTTTCATGTAAATCTCTTTCATGTCTTATTGCGCTTAAACTGTCAAATACACACAAGTTTATGATAAAAACACACACAAGTTACAAAAGCACAGTCGGTTATGTCTGTGAAGGTAAACAGCTGGAAAAGAAATCGCATGTTTATATTAGATATGTGTATTAAGTAACAGCAGTATAATATACAGTACCTGTACTGTTGTCTATGCTGATAATATGACCCAAACAAAATGAAACCTTTTCTTACTTAAATGCTGATTTTAAATGCTCTAACGTGAAGATAAACTTGGCAGATTGTGTGCGACTCACTCAGGGCGGGGTCTCTGCTAATACGGCATTGTCTGTCAACAGTCGTGGGCGGGGCTTGTGCAAAGTGACATTACATTGTACAGATTCCGCAAACGGTTTAGCTGAGACGACTCCATGTTCCCAAGTCATTTTGAAGATTAGTTCAAATTGAATGAATCATTCATGAACGATACATCACTACTCCCTGCCCCCTTTTCCAGAATAGGGCTGTGCATTTACAGCCTGTTCCTCAGATAATCTGCTAAAAAAACCTGTTTGGTTTTGATTATGTCTACTACGCTGAAATCATGTGTTTTAAAGCCATATTAGTTTAAACATCTGATACATGGTTTTCTGAGCACACACATTCAAAGAGAAAGTAGCTGTCACACGGCATGTGAGTACTGATAAGTATCTTTCATGTAAATCTCTTTCATGTCTTATTGCGCTTAAACTGTCAAATACACAAAGTTTATGATAAAAACACACACAAGTTACAAAAGCACAGTCGGTTATGTCTGTGAAGGTAAACAGCTGGAAAAGAAGTCGCATGTTTATATTAGATATGTGTATTAAGTAACAGCAGTATAAT